GCCGTCGGACTCCTCAATTTGTGTACCGCGATGACGTCCCGGCACATACACGTTCAGACTACTGCAGATTACTGCTTTCGAGGTAATTACGAATCAAAGTTTCATCGGAAACATCGGAAGAGGGAGGAGGGAAAGAGGGGGGAGAGTCTATAGTCCGTATGTGACTAACTGCACTCACAAACCAAGGAGGGAGAGGAGCTGAGTAGCGCCAACAGCACGCGTGGTAGCAACGTCACGAGTGACAAGCGGAGTAAGGAGGCTAGTGAGGGTAGGTGGGAGAGCAGCGACAAGCACGTTAACCAAACTCAAAACAGCAGCGAGAAGTGCACCGACGAGCGCCCCCACATCAGTGAGGATAGCCGCAAGGGGGGGCACGAGAAGCCCATCGAGAGCGACGACGGTACCGAGGGGGACGGTGATCGCCTATGAGAGATAATGAGACACAACGTCAAAACAATAGTGAGACGGAACACGGTAGACCCCACTCACGGTGGTAACCGTGGCGAGGAGGGAGCCCAGGTCAGTGATCGAAATTAACTCGGCGTCATTCTTGAACGGGGACGCGAGGAGGACCGACCGAGGTTGACCAGAGAGAGCCTTGAGACGGGCGATACCGTTGTTGAGAATGCTCTTGATGTGGTCGAGGGAGGGAGAGACGGCGTCGAACGTAGCATTGTTGGCTGTCACAAACTCTGTTGGACACAATTTGTTATCTGTATCACACCATAGTCCAAGGAGAGACTCAATACTCACTGAGCGGCGCCGTGACGGGGACGAGCTGGACGTGCATATCGGTGAGGATTGAGACGATGCTGTCCAAGCCAGCACGAGGAAGGACGTCGCCAGTGACAACACCATTCGCCGGAGCAACAGGGAAAACGACGTCCTTGGGGGAAATCACACCGGCCTGCTCATTGGCGAGCGGGATGGCCGAGGTGAAGGCGCTAAAAGCGATGGTGGCGAAGACAGTGAGCGAGTTGAAGAACATTGTGGAATGAGACTGTGGTGAAGTGGGCGAAGGGAGAAGAGGATTCAACTTCACTGCTGGATATCGATAACAAGAAAGGGATTTTATAGGATCAGGCGCAATCGCTGAGGCTCGTGTAAATTTGAAGGACCATAAGTAGACAAGTGAAGTTTGATCCGCGCAGACCAGGGAGAGGGATGATGGTTGGTGACGAATATTTGGTATTAGTCGGAAGATGTCATGTCGTCATGTCACGGTGAAGCAAGAATCACAATGTTCCATGCTGGTCGGCGCCACTTGGTCGGTGCCACTAGATGGAATGAATGCTTACCTTCGAGGAAGGGGATAAGACGGTGTAGACGTTTAGGGTTCTGAGTTCTCGGAGTTAGTATGCAGTAAGTGACAACAAACGATGAGAAATATGATTGGCCCGAGGAGAGCATACCCCTGGAGAAACCGCAGTTTCTTCGCGTACACGGTGACGCTTGGAACCCTAGACGAGTCTTCAACGGTTGTTTTGGACTGTAACTGTGACCTAGTAGTAGTAGTGCTCGTGGCATCGTGTTAGACGCTGAAAGAGACGGAGCGCTGGGAGCTGGCAGCACCGATTCCAGACTGATTCTCAAATTTGAACTGGTCAGTGGTTGGCTGAAGATGTCGAACAAGCTCACATGCCCTTCCCTGAGCCAGAATCGGGCGAGAAGGGGCGGTTAACGTCCGCAAACCATGCTGTACTCAGTTCCGTCTGTCCGGTGCCAACCCGCATTCAAACTCTCCTCTCTTCTACCATCCTGATATTCTGGGCCATGATGTTGCAATGATCCCTCTACTTCGAATCTTCGAAGTCGGTGACGCACTTTAGCTATAAAGACGCGATCAGAACGCTTGCAAGGAAATCAAGGCGATGACAAGAGAGGTAAGCGCTTGATGCAATTTTCAATGCGACTTCAGAGACTTATGCGGGTGGACTGACCGTCAGAACTCGTCATACGACATATCAGATATGCATACCTCGGTTCAATAGATCCGTGTCAATCCTGCCACCTTGTCCCGTCCCGGATCCCACACGACTGGAGCGTACCTGTACTTACTCGCCATCGTCTATCCGCGCGTCATCGTCTCATGCACTTGGCGCGCCTCACTCGTGCGTCATATCTACATGCGGAAAGTACATACCAGTCTATGACCCTCCCCTTCCATTACTTATGCTGGCCACTTATCTTACGCCCAGTATGGGACATGATGATGTCGTGTGCGGGCGTGCTGCTACACCGGTTGCGGTCGGTGACACTTCCTCCAGCCTCGTAAAGTATCTGAGCGTACTCCGAGTCGAGGGTCGCCTTGACCTAGACGTAGCGATGGAGGGCGGTCGACCGGAAGAGGTCGCGGCCGTCAACTGGAACTCCGATGTCGATGATTCAGCAAGCTGTTTGGAGGGGGCACGATGGGCGGTTGCTGGCACCGCTGTTGAAGGTGGTCGAGAGGTTAAAGATGAGCATGCGAGTCCAACCCCAGTGCATCTCGTAGATATTTTTGACATGGCTGCACAGGCCCTGGCGCGGCCTCAGCCTCGCTAGCGTTGAGGTACCCCGCGACCTTCTTTGCGTGCATCTCCTTCAGAGTGTACCAAGCGGCCGTGACGTTCATCGTTGAATAGGAATTTTGTGTGGGTCCTGACCCAGGCTGTACGCCCGGCCGCGCTCAGCAAAGAGGCGGCTTGGTCTGGACAACCCAATAAATTGGCGAATATGCGCTGAGGAAGTCCAACAAACGACCCTTCTCAATCGATTGTTCACAGGTAGGACTTTAGTTGATACTACGCTGCGGAGGTGCACCAGTAGTAAAGTCCCCCGCATAATCCGTACCGATCGTCGAACCACGGTGGCGGGATCACTTGAAGTGGAGACACAGTCTCTGCGATTCTGCGCCAGAAAGCATGCTAGCCCTAACTCGTCATACTAGGTGAGGGGCTGTGTGACTCATGTTGTTGCTGCAAATTGAAAGTCAAGGTCACTAGCAAAAGGGTCATGTATGCGTCAACTTCTAGCCCGTCTTACAAAAAGGGCAGCAGGAAAGCAAAAACTAGCCCACCGCGAGGGTCGAACTCGCAGCCTTCAGATCACCCGCATAGCTGATAAGAGTCTGACGCTCTATCCGATTGAGCTAGGCGGGCTACATTTCTTTTAAGGTTGCATAAAATAAAGATAATTTATAAGTTGGACCGGTGTATAGTATACTACTTGGGTTCAAAAGTGCTCAAATATCAAACTTTCGGAGGTGCGAGTACTTGTTGTCCAGCCTGTGCTCTGAGGTCTTCTCGTACACATCAAATGACGTTGAAGTTTGAACCTTGATTGCGAGCTTCATCGACGTTGACCCGCCGGGCCGAACGCTGTCAGGTGGCTGCAGTACGGTCCGGCGGGAACAGACTCTGGAGGAGCTGCTCCGTCCTCGCTGTTCACTGTAGAAGCTAAGTATATGAACTCGCTCCGGTTCCAAGCTTAGCTACCTGACGACGTGTTCATCCCCGTAACCGATTGACTAGTTGCCTGTTGGACCAAACAGGATGGCGGCCGATATCCCAAGCTTCACGCTGAACTCTGGTTACAAGATGCCCTCTGTCGGGATGGGGTGAGTTATCATTGCCGGAATGATCATTGACCCATGTTGCATCTACCGCGGAAAGGCCCTTGTGGTCTGACGGAATCTCAAGCAGACCGCCCCGCACTGCTTGGAGAGCTCGAACTTGTCTATTGACAGATATCTCGGCGCAGGTGCTGGTTGGGTCCCTCCGGCGGGGGAGAGGTCGTCGAGCAACTGTGCAAGACGGCGTTGCAGGTAGGTACTCGGAGGAGACTATACCTGTCTCTGCGCGCTGACACTCTCGTTGCCTCCTCGCGCGGTACCGCTAGCTGGGATATAGGCACATCGACACGGTCAGCGTCACCTCGACCACACGCCATTGAATAGAACGATTCCAACTGACACGTTATCTGTTCCCAACGCAGGCGTACGGATATTCAAACGAAGAGAACGTCGGCAAGGCGATCCGCGAGTCCGGCGTCCCACGCGAGGAAATCTTCCTCACTACAAAGCTCCCAAATCACCACCACCACCGCGTCGCCGCGTCGCTACAGGAGTCGCTCGACAAGCTCGGCGTCGATTATGTCGATCTCTACCTTATGCATTGGCCGCAGGCGTATACGGAGGACAACAACCCGATCCCGCATGACCAGAGCCCGACGTACGTCGATACGTGGCGCGACATGGAGAAGCTGCTGGACACAGGCAAGGTTCGCTCGATCGGAGTGTCGAACTTCTCAGTCAAGATACTCGAGGTCCTGCTCAAGGATACGAGTGTCGTCCCCTCGACGAACCAGGTCGAGCTGCATCCGTGCCTTCCGTCGTTTGAGCTGAAACGTTACTGCGACGAGAAGGGTATTCTGCTGACCGCGTACTCGCCACTCGGTAGGGACACAACTTCTTTTCTTCGTCCTGACGCTCAGACGTACTATAGGGCGGCCGAAGGAGTATGATGGCAAGCCCGTGTTCCTCAACGACGCGGATGTCATACAGATTGCGCGGGAACGGAACACGACCCCCGGCCAGGTGGCTCTCAGCTGGGGTGTGCAGCGCGGGACGGTCGTCATCCCGAAGAGCGAGAACCCCGAGCGGATCAAGCAAAATATTTCTGTGCGTACAGTTGCGAATCCTTCCCCACAATGGTGTGTACTAACCGTTTGTGATGATCTGTAGCTGGTCAACTTGACAGGCGAGGACATGGCTACGCTGGATAGAATCCACAAGAAGCCAGGCATGCATCGCTCGTTGTTACGTTATCACCTGTACTCAGATGATGGGACGGTGAATGGATGGACGTATGAGCAGCTGGGGTGGAACATGGTGAAGGGCGGGATTGTGGCAGAATGAAGGGAGCACATGTCAGGTTGTAATAGAGCAGATGTGTATACGACTAAGAAGGAATGTAGCTAGGTGGAGAGGTCAACCGAGTTGCGCGACTAAAAAGACATGCAGGCACTACCAGGGTTCGAACCTGGGTTATGGGAAGATCGGCCGAACGCTCACCGACTCGAGGGGAAGCCAGTAAACGCTCAGCGTTCAAAATCCCAAGTGATAAACCACTACACTATAGTGCCTCGGTCGTGGACAGTACGGGGGGTGATATTGTAATTTTTTGTGTGAGCGTGTATTTCAGCCCAAGTCTTAGTCAGTGTCACAGTGCAAGCACAACACGCGCGACCTGCGAGAGGTTGGACGGGGAGGCCAGACCTGGGGAACACTTACACAGGTGGAAAACTCTGGCCCCTTTGCTGAGAGGATGGCCAATGGACACTGACTGATACGTACTTCTGTGGCAGGTATAAGCGATCGCACCCATGGGTTCTGTGACTGTACACGATTCATAGTATCTGCTACCTGGAATCTGTCTATCCTCGGGCTCAGGCTCCATTCGCCCGTCTTGCGGGCCTGTACGCGGGATGGGCCGTAAACCAAAGTTCCCAGCCTAACGTTGGTGTCGCTTGCCCATACAAGTTCATATACGTTCATCGGGCTCGGCGAAGGAGTGCCTGATTGACAAGCGTTGGTATCGTCAGCATTAGTTCAAGTTGTGTATCTATCCCGATAGCTTTGAGCTCGAGCGACACACAGTTCTTGAAGTGGCACCCAGAAGATAGGTCGTGGTCACCGGGCCGCTGTCATTTCCTGACTCTCATATGGCCACCGTTCTCTTGCACGAACTTGAGCGCAACTGGGCGGTGAATGTTGATGACGCATACTGCTAATGGGTGCGACCTACATAGCAAGTCAGCGTGCTGTTGTCAGAATTTCAAAATGACTATGACAGCGTGTATTTCAGTGGGCAGGCTTCCAAGTGAGACTGCGTCGGGATGTAGTCACGAGGCTGTCCCACAAGTCCGATCGGTGTGGTCAGTGAGATAGAAGTGACACCAAGCTCTGAAGCTGTGTCTCAAGCCGGAGCCACTTCGCACTATGTACTGCCTTATCCGCAAGAGCCCTAGGAGGCTGCGCCCCCGCCAGACGCAATATAAGGAGAGCCCAAATGCTTCAAATGGCGGCCATCCTGACGTATTGAACATCTAAACCCGCGATCCTATAGCACTCGAGTGCAAACCAAGCTCAACCGAAGTAGTGAGCCCGTGACAGGTCCTCATTCACGCTTGATAGTACTCACGCAGCAATCTTGAAGATGTGGCTTCTGAACACGACAACCTACAAGCTCAAACGGTTCGATTCCGACACCGATCGACCACGTTACGCGATTCTCTCGCACGTCTGGACCAAAGAAGAAGTCAGTTTCGCCGACATACAGGATCTCACGAAGGCCAAGTTACAGGGGGGATTTACCAAAATCGAGCGGTCCTGTGCGCTGGCTCTTCAGGACAGGTACCGCTGGATCTGGATAGATACCTGCTGCATCGACAAGACGAGCAGTGCGGAGCTGTCGGAGGCCATCAACTCGATGTACGCTTGGTATGGCGAGGCCGACCTTTGCTACGCATACCTCCACGACGTCAAAGACTCAAACGAGGAGGACCCGCTTGCCGACGGCTCCTCATTCCGGTCGAGTCGCTGGTTCACCCGTGGTTGGACGCTCCAGGAGCTCATCGCGCCTCGGTCCATGTACTTCCTTGCGAAGAACTGGAGGCGCTTGGGCACCAAACGGAGTCTGGCGCATGTGCTGAGGGATGTGACGTTAGTTGACCGGGAGGTGCTACTGCACGACAAGCTCCTCGACGACGTCAGCGTCGCCCGGCGAATGTCGTGGGCGGCGCGACGCGAAACTACGCGAATGGAGGACCGTGCATATTCCCTGATGGGCATCTTCGGCGTGAACATGCCCACCATCTACGGCGAGGGTGAGAAGGCGTTCATCCGCCTACAGCTGGAGATCACCCGGCAAACGCCCGACCAGAGTATCTTCGCCTGGGGCAGGGTTCATAGCCATCAGGTCTTTACCGATAACATGCACTCCTTCTCCGATGGGTCGAAGTGGACGTCCGAGTATCGCAGCTTGCTGGCGTCGTCCCCAGCGATGTTCGCCGACTCCGCTGGTGTCGAATCCGTGCCCATCGAGTCTTTCGGAGAGCACCTCGGGCTGACGATTCCTGTGCCCGAGTATTACCCCACGAACTACGGCATTCGCATCCGCTTACCTCTCTATTCCATGAACGGCACCCCGATGTGTTTCGCAGTTCTCGCCTGCCGAGACAAAGGCGGGATGATCGCGCTGCTGGTGCGACGGATGGAGAACAGCCTGAGCCGATACCACGTCGGGCTACATGGGATGTACCGCCCCCTGCAGCCACCATGGCATCCGTTCTTCCGCGTTTTCCGCATCCCATCGAAGAAGAACGAGCAGAAGATATTTCTCAGCCGCCTCGCCATCACGGACATGTACCTCCACAGTCACAACCCGAACCCGCAAAGGAGCCGAGCGCTGGGGATTGCAAACAACGACCTCCGGCTGCACGCTCGCAGAAGCCTCAGCAACGACCCCCCGGAGCACTTCACGTTCATCATCCCCGGGTGGTTGCTGAAGCGGTTGAAGGACGAGGGCTTTCGGGCGTTACTCGAAGATAAGAAGCTACCCTCGTGGTGCCCGACCAAGGCATGGACTCAGAAGGACCAGACCTTGACGCTAAGTATGCGTCGGATACCAACGAAGAGCGCAACGAAGGGGTCGTCAAAAGGCTCGATCATGAGATCTAAAGAGAAGGTAGACCGGGACATCGAACCTGGAGTCGTCGTCTTCCGCGGTCCGGAGAAAGAGATGTTCGCGCTCGTGATCAGCGTGACGGAGCATGGATCCGTGAAAGCGGAAGGGATCATCAAGGGGTGTGAGGGGCCACACAACGACTGGGAGGGAACCGGCCACGACATCGCAAAAAAGATCTCGACCAAGTACCAAGAATCCAGGGACGGCGTCAAGGGATCGACGTCGACTGTGGACGAGTGGAGATACGGAGTCAAGAGATTTGGCGATATGGGAAAGAGGGCTATCAAGGTCACCTTTACACCGTGGTTAGATGAGGAAGAAATGGGCGCAATTGGCAAGGGGCGGGTCACGTACACGGTCGGTATCGAGTTAAGGGGCGAGGTATACCTGGAGTGGAAGAGATTATCGTCAACGGGAGTCGAAGCAGATAGCGCATCCACGTATAGCCGCATCGTCGCCCCACCTGATTATCCCAAAGGACGAAAGTAGTGCAGGAGTCATGGTGGCATGCCATTGGAACTATCATGGTACATAGGTACATAGTAGTCAGAAAGTTCATCGAGATCGAGATCGTCATCATAATCGCAAGAACACGAGCGACAATATCAGGGAAACGAGAGAGATAGAGTACGCGTACAAGGAAACGAAAGGAATAGGAAATTTGGAAACACAAGGAACGTATGAGAAGGGTACGAATCGATAACGGGAGAGGAAATGTACTGTAGAAATTTACCTTGAAGGGCCAGGTGTGGACGATAGTGATGCTTGCCTTGCTTCCTCTTGTCGCTGGAACAACAACTCCGCCCATAGAGGGTTGGGAGGTATCCGACCGACGAGAGCTCGCAGGATGTTGAGCCTACACCAGGAGTCAGTGCTATCAGCAACAACGATAATGGGTATATGTACCAATCTGCCTTCTCCTGGTCTGTATCGGCATAGAAGGTAATGTCATCTGCGGCGAAGTGCAGCCTGAACGCACGGTCAACGTTCGTCCCGCCACACTCCCCGTCGTCGAAGGTGCTGCGGACGGTCGCGACAGAACCCGGACTTCGCGCCTCTTTGGACTCGTCTAGGTCGACCACGGCAGTGGCTTTGCGAAGATCGATGCTCGCGATCGCGCGCTTCGTGACATCGTTATAAGCCACGAGATTGCTTCCGACTATTCGTAGATGTCGTCTGCGCCAGGTCTACAGTGCATATTCAGTAAAAACACCCATAGACCACAGATGGAGGAGAGGTGTATAAGTACCGAACAATCGCCTCCCATCTGAGTCAGCGTTCCCTGCATGTAGCATGCCTTGTGCCAGCGCGTGTGTGTCAAGCCCCGATGACATTCCTCCAAGCTCTGCGGGAGCTGCTCAGGCGGGATACCAGGTAAAGGCGGCAGCCTGAAGATTTGGAGCACGACCTCCCCGATCTGCAGAGCCTTCGCCGTAGATCCCACCTCAATCTTCTGTCCGATGAGCGGGAAGGTGGTCTCCAAGAGCCTCGTGTCACAGTGCCGGGCGATGTCCTTGAAGGAAATGAACGCACGCCCCAGCGAACCGTCGGGCTTCAGGTACCGCGCGAGGTTCTCCTGCAAGGTAAAAGGCTGGGGTGGGGGAACAATGGGAGGAGCGGGGGAGGCAGCGCGAACTGCACTCTTGGACTTCTTGGGGGACCCGAGGCCGAGGAAGCTGCGCATCCCACCGCTCTTCGGATTCCCGCCCTTTGAGGCTGGGGGAGGTAGCGGCTGCGGTGGGGGACGAGCGGCGGTTGGGGGCTGGTTGACTTTGAACTGCGCGACGACATGCGGATCCCTGCGAATCTTCATTGTCAAGGTGAACTCGAGCTTACTGTGTTCAATCCTGAGAAAGGACGCCTTGAAATTAGTAACAACGTTAGATGGAATTTGTGGGCGCACAGCTCAAATTCCTGGTCTATGGTACATTCGCGACCGAATTTCGCTTCAGGAGTGGTTACGAAGTGGATGCCGTTGTTGAGTGTGCATGTGACCATGGTAGGCTGCTCAGGTACTGGCACGTTGAGACCTCGCAAGCCAACAACTACGGAAGTGTGGACAATCAGTCTTTAGCCCGCGTGTGAAATCCAAAAGACCAACCTCGGACGAAGACCTTGCCATGCGCCTTGCCAGACTTCTGCTGTTCGCGCAACTCACGAAGCTGCTTCGCGTACTCGTTCTGATATTCGACTCAGTACTGAATGCCCAGGTAGAACTATACCAGTGGCATACCATGTCGGAAGGTCTCCGGATTGCACGCCACGCTCGGCTAACATCTTCGTCCGGGGAGTCAGAGTGCCTATCAGCCGATGCATATATAGTCTCCGTATGCTCGCGGACCAAGTATTTCTGCAACGTCGACAGGTACGTCAGAACACGAGGGAAAACCTGCACTA